AAGAGAAGAAAATTGTCTTTTTTTTTGCCCGTGTCTTCCGCCAAAGATACATACCAATGTATTTTAATCTGTTCATATCTATCTATCTATCTATCTATCTATCTATCTATCTATCTTTATCTATCGACAGATATCTCGCTATCTCTATATTCTGTTCATATCTATCTATCTATCTATCATCTATCTATCTATCTATCTATCTATCTATCTATCTATCTATTTCAGTTTTGTCATGTATCTGACATAGTCTTTATTTGTCTTAAGATACTATGACTCTTGCTCGTGAAGAGAAGAAAATTGTCTTTTTTTTGCCCGTGTCTTTCGCCAAAGATACCTACCAATGTATTTTAATCTGTTCATACACGTTCTTTTCATATCTGACTGCCGAAACCTATTCCTATCTATCTATCTATCTATCTATCTATCTATCTATCTATCTATCTATATCTCGCTATATCTATATTACACTGTTCATATCTATCTATCTATCTATCTATCTATCTATCTATCTATCTATCTATCTATCTATCTATCTATTCTATCTATCTATCTATCTATCTATCGACAGATATCTCGCTATCTCTATATTACACTGTTCATATCTATCTATCTATCTATCTATCTATCTATCTATCTCAGTCAATTATCTATCTATCTATCTATTTCAGTTTTGTCATGTATATAATATAGTCTTTATTTGTGTTAAGGTACTATGACTCTTGCCCGTGAAGAAAAAAAAATTGTCTTTTTTTTTCCTCTTGCCAAAGTGAAATGTAAAAAATTGACTTTTTTCTTCATCTCTTCCTCTATCTATCTATCTAAGAGATATCTCGAATATTACGCAAAGATCAATCAATGTCTATTTAATCTATCTCTGTTCGTATCTATCTATCTATCTATCGACAGATATCTCGTCCCTACATTACACTGTTCAACCTATTCTTCTATCTATCTATCTATCTATCTATCTATCTATCTCATCAATTATCTATCTATTTCAGTTTTGTCATTTATGACATAGTCTTTATTTGTCTTAAGATACTATATTTGCATGAAGAGAAGAAAATTGTCTTTTTTTGCCCGTGTCTTCCGCCAAAGATACCTACCAATGTATTTTAATCTATTCATACATTCTGTTCCTATGTCTATTTTATATACATCTATCTATCTATCTATCTATCTATCTATATATATTTATCTATATATATTCATAACAATATATATATATATATATATATATATATATATATATATATATATATATATATATATATATATATATATATATATATATATACGTATATGTGGGTGGCATATTCAAATAATTCTGAAATTCGTAGAATCACTTAATTGTGGTCTATCCAATATAATATCTTGAAATTGCTGGATTTTAAAAAAAGCACTTTAAGGTAAAATCGTAATTTGATATGTTTTTGCTTTTATCTCACATATTCCGACCTGAACAGTGTTTTAGACAATCAGTTCTGTGTTTACGCTCTCCGCTAAATATTTATATTTTCAAGGTAAAATCGTTTTCAGCAAATACCGAAGTGGAAGGAAATAGGATTATTTATTGACACTGTATTGGCTTTTAGTTGCATTAAGTTAAGTAATCGCGGTTATTTAAAACTGGGTAAGACACAGAAGAAGTTTTACAGTCACAGGTGAATGTCGAGGAAAAAAAAAACGATATAACGTCTTCAAAGAAATGAAAGATATCGAGAAAGAATCCTATGAAGACACTAGAAATTAAGGATCATGGATTTGGGATGAATCGTTTTTGTGAGATTTATCAGCATCTTAATGGCTATTTAAAGCCAGAAAATATTTAACATTATCTGTCTATCTATCTATCTATCTTAGACTGTTCATATCTGTTTATTTATCTCATTCTCTTCATATCTATCTATCTATCTATCTATCTATCTATCTATCTATCTATCTATCTATCTATCTATCTCAGACTGTTCATATCTGTTTATCTACCTCATTCTCTTCATCTATCTATCTCTCTTTCTCCCCCCCTCTCTCTCTATCTCTCTCTCTCTCTATCTATCACAGTCTGTTGCTATTTATCTATCTCGGTTTGTTGCTATCTGTCTGTCTGTATATCTATCTCGCTATCTCTTCATCTATCTATCTATCTATCTATCTATCTATCTATCTATCTATCTATCTATCTCAGTCTGTTCATATCTATCTATCTATCTATCTATCTATCTATCTATCTATCTCTTTTGTTATATATATATGTCTATATATCTGTCTAGGTATCTCTCTCTACATCTCTATCTATCTATCTCTGTTCATATCTGTTTATCTATCTCATTCTGTTCATATCCATCTCTCTATCTATTTTGTTTTATATATATATATATATATATATATATATATATATATATAAGTGTGTGTGTCTATATATCTATATAGCTATCTCTATCTATCTATCTTACTCTGTTCATATCTATCTATCTATCTATCTATCTATGTATCACAATCTGTTCATATCTATTTATCGCATTCTTTTCCTATTTCTCTATGTATCTAAAAAAAAGCTTATTAAGAAAGAACAACGTTTAATCTATCTTAATTAACCTCTGTTTTGGATGACCTAGATGGCAAATCATTATCCACAAAATATGTTTTTCAACAATGCATTAGCTTTACTTTGCCACAAACTAAAGAAGAAAATCTTTTACCGTTCAATAAATTAGTGCACATATCTCAACTATTCACTAGCCATTGTTTCTTTTCTTTCAATGACAATTTTTGCGATCAAAAGTTCTGTCTTCCGAATAGATCTCCAGTAAGCTGTGTTTTGCATGTCTCTTAGAATTTTTCGAATAAACACACCGTGCATCAAAACACCACGTAACTCAGATGTATAAATGACGCTTTACTTATATATACCTAAAATTAAAATTAACAAATAACAAAACTATTAAATCCACACCCGAGGGGGCGGAAATTTCTAACCTTTCTTGAATTTAATTTGAAGCCATGACACATTTGATCTAAACAATATTTATTCTTCCTATCACGACAAAAAGAATAAATTTTAAATTCCTAGCTTATATATATATATATATAATTTATTATGTATCGTTTCACTCCAAGCAAGATGATAATGCCATGAAAATGCAAATGATTACTGAGATTGAAAGAGAATGAGAAGACTTTAGTGAGGAGAAAGTGCAATATGTTTCGGGAAGACAGAAGGTGACGATAATTCCACTGGGACGCAAAGTAGGTAGTGTGTGTGTGAATGTAAATAAGATGATTTTAGTGAGAAGAAAGACAATATGAGAACAGTTTTCAGGAATACAGAAGATGGAGATAACGCAACCGAGGCACAAAAGGATTTATTGAGGGTGAAATAGAAAAAGAAGACTTTAGTGAGGAGAAAGTGCACGAAGAGAACAGATTTCAGGAAGACAGAAAATGGCGATAATGCCACTGAGGTGCAAAAGAGGTACTGATATTGAAAGAGAACAAGTAGACTTTAGGAAGGAGTAAGGATAATAAAAGAACAGGTTAAATGAAAAAAGAAGTTGGCGTTATTGCCACTGGGGTGCAATGGAGTTGTGAGATTGGAAAAGAACGAGCAGTCTTTAATGATGAATAAGGGTAATGATATAATGGAATATGCATACACCTGTGTTTCCCCTCACTGGAATACGATTGGCTGGTGTCCGTCATAAATACCGACGGACGTGTAGGAGAGTCAAGAGATCCTTAGTCTGAGAGCTAAGTCTATAACGACGCCCATTGGACTACGCCATTGATCTACATTTCTTACCTGCGACTGCGACGCGTACCAGTCGATTACTGCTACCATATTCTACTTGGTTATAGTAGCCAAAACCACTTAGCTACCAGTAAAACGCAAGGTGTTACCGCGAGTGAAAGAGAATGTAACGACTTTAGAGGGGAGAATTTTTCTGCTAGCCATGAAGTTTTTCATGGTTGCATATGGCCATAGGTGAGCCATGTTAATGCATATGGCCATAGGTGAGCCATGTTAATCGTCCTGAAGTTAATGCAAGGTGAGCGGGGGTTTGCATTAACTTCAGGACGACTAGCTGAACCAGTCTACCCGGTTATTTAGCCCAAGGTAAAATAAAGTGGTCACATGCGTTTTCCGAAGGTGTTAGTGCAGAGGGAACGAAAGATACGGGGACATAACTTAAACAAGGCGCGACTATTCAAATATTACGCCGGCTGCACATCGAAGAATAGAAAAATAGTTTCTCCAGAAATGCTTTGAGTCGACCGTATTAGGGAGTCAATGCGAACGATCTTTTCATTTGAAGCATAGAATGTGTATCGCCAGGACTACATACAGTTTTGAAATCAGAGGTTTTTTTCTCATATACTGGTTGGTATCAAGTTTGTTCTACTATTTATCCATAGCTGGGGGAGAAGATTTGGATTTATACCTTTTACATGGTTATTAGCAAGTAAATGAATGCAATGAACTAGACTGGAATTCAAACTCGGCTCTCCGATTCCTCAATCCGAACCGCAAACCATTACCCTAGCCTGACTTCGTTTCTTGATATGTAAGTTTCTATCGTTTAAACAGGGGATTTCGTTTCACATATGACTTAAATTTATATATTCTAAAGGCTGAAATTTCAATTCGCTTTTCTCTATACGATCAATGTGCGGATTGTGAATTTTAGATGTTTTTTTTTTTACGTCAAAAATAGAAATGGAGAAAAATGTGGTGCAATTTCATGATCTGTTTTTTTTTTTTTTTTATATCCAGAGAAAACAAAACCCTTAAATGTTCTTAAAACAGCAAAAAAACAAAAAACAAAAAAAAAACACTATCTGCTGTTTATTCAGATTGTGTCATAGCTAAAAACACTATTCCGATGAAGTTTGCTTTATTAAGAGTCTGTCTTTATTTCTGAGATGAGGTATTATGTACATTATTTACATTATTCGGACTATTGTCCTCATCTAGGTCGCCATATTTATCACAACGTTTCGGCCGTTGTACGTTTCTTCAGGTGGTTGGAATGTCGAACTTAATCCTTTAGTTCGCTCACTGGGGTAGACTGTTCTAGTTCCACGTGTCATGTTTGATGGATGTCAGCTATTCCCTCTGAAAGTTCTCCACTTAACCGGGTATTGAACTCACACTCTTTGGATCTTATCAATGGATCTAACCAACGCCTTTATCCACTGTGCCATGTGTCCTTGAGGATATCTGGGTATGAATTTCTGGGTATTATAAACCTATTGTCTTCAGCAACCATTTTTTATCATATTGCAATTTTGCTGTTATCATTACATGTTTTTACCAGAGCTCATATTGCAACTTTTGTTGTTATCATTGCTTTTCTCTGGCACTCCTTATTACTGGTTCCCATATTGTATTTATTTCTATGCTTGGTCGGCTCAGGAGATTTTTGTAGCCTAGCATATATGCTGATTCCTTAAGTTTACGAATTTTCCAATGGTGTTCCCTATCTATGATCTCAACATGAACCCACAGAGGGCTGTGATCTCCCGTCTCTCTCCATATATGGTCAGCCACGCCTGCTTTTTCTACCTCCCCTCGTGTCACAGCTTTCTGGTGTTCTTGAAGCCTTTGTCAAATTTAGAAATTTTCATCAAAAAGACATACCGTTCTGATGATGACCAACTCGAAACGATGAAGGAAAATAATCTAAGTAACACGACACTGCAGCTATACCCCACACATTTCAAATGAGTATTGTAAGAAATTCGAAAACATATGGATACGTGAATGCATCAACATTTAAAATTTTGAATTTAATTCTTTTTAATCGTTATATCGCAAGCAAGGCACCAAAGCCACTAAGACGCAGGGAATACTGAGTTCGGAAAGAATATATGAAAAATGTTACATTGCGGGAACAAGGAAAGAATTTAAGAGGACAAAGACAACGATTGATATTTCATTTACATTTACGATATCAAACTTGACTGGAAAGTAAGAAGCCGGAAGAGAGTTCCACAAGCGAGAAGTGCGAGTAAAGAAACTCTTAATATGGAACGTACGGTTACATCTAGTCATTTCGAATGTAAAATGATGGGATCTTGATGCCACTGGACCTCCCCAGTTTTTATTTTTCGGCTTCGATTGAGTCCAAAAGCATCACAAAGTCCCCGTGGGTGGCAAATTAATTGCCACCCTCCTGCCTCTCTCTCTCTTAGGTAGATTATGGCGAATTTCTCACTGCTCTGTCACCACTTCCAGGGAAAGTGCTCGGGCGAACTGAATTTATTGGATCCTATATTTCTTACCTACATGGCCAGGACCCGCCCTGCCACTTGTTTACTCACACTCACCCACATTCCCTCCCTATTTTTTGATGACTAGTAAGTTCCACTCGAAGAGCTTCATATCACGAACCTCTGCTCTGTGAAACCGACTCCCAAGAGAATGTCTCCCTGATCACTGCAATCGTAACATGTTTAAGTCCGAAGTCGAGATGCTAGGTCAGGACCAATAATATTGCAGATTTTTTCTTTGGAGTTCATCAAGGTTCTCTAAATATATACCAGCAGCACCAGACCATACGTAGCAGCAATATTCTAAGTATGGACGAATGGTGGACTTGTAAATATGTAAGACTAGCTTAAAAGCCGTCCTATCGAGCGCTATTTAACCTGGCATCTGCGAAGGGCTTTTGATTGGGCCTCGGCTTGTTCAGTTGTTTGAGAGTCCCTATGTCAGCATATTCTCAGAACTGAAAGCTCTTCTGGCTGCCGTTTGATTTGGGTTTTCATTTGCACGGGGCTTTCTTTTCCTCGCTGCAGCCATGGCTCTAATGATTGCAAACTGGTCGCCCACTGGCAGAGATTTCTTTTTGCGAGGCATGCTGCTGCTGTATGCGACAAGCAATAATAAACAACGGAAGAACTCGAAAGTGGTCGCGCCGTTTTAGTATTACATTAATATTTAAGCTTATTTTTTAAAAGTTCAGCGATAATCCTTCTGCCGCCACTGAATTTAAATTGATGAAGGTAGGTCCTTACTTTCCGTACAAACAATTATTTTTTTTGTTTCCTGGGTGACTTTCACTAGATTTCGCAATTTCAATTATTCCCAAATTTATTTCGAAGTTATAAAAATTGCTATCGTCCAAACAATTTCGCCTCAAAAAAAAAATCACGTAAAAATTCACCGAAAACAATCGCAGTAATGAAAACTGGGGAATCCGAAACTTTAGGATTCCGGGTTCGGATCCGGCCTGGATTGTTTTTAATTTGCCGACGGAGTCGACCTGATTCCAAAATGGTATAGTATGTTGGGCTAAAGCCTCTAGGAGTAAAGTTGAAAATGTGTGACACACTGACATTCGATATTATTTTTATAGATAGATTCGGGCGAGAAAAAATGTCTTATACGACACAGAGAACCCAAAAATTATTAATATATACGTCGTGGCTATCTATATATCTAGCTATCTAGCTATTATAATTTTATCATATAGACAAAAACAGTTTGATCACTACTAA